CGGTGCGGGGGGCCCCAGCCGCTGTGGCTCAGCCAGGCCAGGGCCGGCCCGGGGGGGCGGCGAGGTCGCAGTCGAAGTCGGCGAAGGCGGCGGGGTCGGGCGGGGGCTGCTCGGGGGGGCGCGGGGCCACCGCCCCCGCCACCGGGTCCTTCTGCAGCAGGTCGGCATCAAAGACCACCCCGTGGAAGAAGGGGTGGCCCTGGAAGTGGTGGAGGTAGCGCAGGCGGCGCAGGGGGTTGTGGCACAGCAGCTGGGGACGGAGGGAGGACAGTGAGTGGTGGGGACCCCAGCATCCCGCCTGGGGGGCCACTGCGGACCCCAAAACCCGGGCAGGAGGGTTACCTCGGCGAGCAGCCGGGCCAGCGCAGGGCTGAACGCGGGCGGGCTCTCGTAGCTGCTCTGCTTGACGCGCTCCAGCATGGCCACGTGGTCCCCCGCCGGCGCCACGGGGAACTGGGGGGGCAGGGAGCAAATTTAGGGGCTCCATGGGGTGCCCCTATACCTCCCCATCCTGTGGTCCTCACCTCCCCGCTGGCCAGGGCGAAGAGCAGGACTCCCAGGGACCACCAGTCGGCTGTGTGGCTGTAGGGCCCCCCGCTCAGCACCTCCGGGGCTGCGGGGAAGAGTGGGTGAGTGCCTGGGGAGGCTGTGCCTCCACCGCAGCCCCCGCTGCCCCCTTACCCATGTACTGCAGGGTGCCGCAGATGGTGTGGGCTCTCTCGCCCCAGCGCAGGTGCCGGGAGAGGCCGAAGTCAGTGAGCTTGAGGTGTCCTGTGGGCAAGACACCACATGGGGACCCATGGACAGGGTGTCCCCATGGAAGGAGTGTCCCCACACTGGTGCCACCAGGCTCTTACCTCTCTCATCCAGGAGGATATTCTCCATCTGAAACGAGACAGGCGCTGGGGTGGCCTCTCCATGCCGGGGGGTTCAGAGACCCCACCCACCCCATCCTCTGGCCCCCCGGCCCTGCTGCCACCCACCTTCACATCTCTGTGCACGATGCCCAGGTCATGGAGGTACACTGGGAAGAAAATGGAGCCATCAGAGTGGCGTGTCCCCTCCCGGCACAGTGCCCACTGCCACCCCCACAGCACCCAGCAGGCAGCTGCCCATCCCCGGGGATGGCTGACCCTGCCTGCAGGTCCCCAGCAGTGGGGACGGTGGTGGCTGTCCCCGGCATGGCAGGCCACTCACCCAGCACCAGCACCAGCTCGGCAGCGAACAGGCGGACAGTGGCCTCAGCGAAGCGCTCGGCGGCACGCCACAGCGCGTGCAGGTCTCCAGTGCTGCAGTAGGTGCACACTGCCGGGACGGGCAACGGGCCTTACCGATGGGCTGCGCCACGGGGACGGGCTGACGTGAGGGGCATGGGCACCGGGATGGCACAGGCACGGGGGGCCAGGTGGGTCACTGGGGCCGTGCACCGTGGTGATGTGGGCACAGGGGCCGGGTGGGCACCAGGACCACACACCACAGTGATGCCAGCACTGGGGCTGTATGGCAGCGAGGCGGCACAAGCACCAGGACCGCACTGGCACCAAGGTGGCACAAGCCTCAATACGGGCACCAGGACTACGGTGACACGGGCACCACAGCCCAGGGCACTGGGAACGTGCAAGTACTGGGGCTACGTACCACGGCGACACGGGCACCAGAGCCACGGGGCACTGGGAACACGTAAGCACCAGGGCCACGTGAGCTCCAAGGTGGCACGGGCACCGTGGCCAGGCAGGCACCAGGGCTGGGGCGCCAGGTTCACCCCTGCGCTGGTCCCTGCCCCGCTGCGGCGCGTCCCCGTCCCCGTGCCCCTGTCCCTGCGGTGGGTGCGGGGTGGGAGCAGCCAAGCGCCTGGATCCCCGTGGGGCAGCGGGCAGCGCAGGCGGGAGCGCGTGCGTGCACGGGGACACGTGCGCAGGCGGCGGGGACACGTGCACGGGCGGGGGGGCCGGGGCGAGCCCGTGGGCAGATGGTCACTCACTGATGAAGAGGTGGCGCTGGCCCTGCCAGCTGTCCCCCAGCCCGTGGACAAACGGGTGCCTGACCTGTCTCTGGGGACACAAAGCGGAGAGGGTGAGCAGCCCCCGGGGCGGGGGGCCGGGGACCTTGCTCCTGCCACCCTCCCTCCACAGCCCCATGGCCTCCTGCCGTCCCCACGGCCACCCCAAGCCCCCCCACGGGCTGGGGGCCCCCTGGATCCCCCCCAACCTGGATGCTGACTTCCTCCTTGCACTGCTTGAGGGTGTCGCGGCGCAGCACCTCCACTTTGGGCACGACCTGGGGGGGTGAGGGGTTGTCAGAGGGGCTGGGGGCAAAGTGGGGGCACCCACGAGCCCTGGGGGCAGCACCCACCTTCACGGCGCAGACCTTCTCCCGCCCGCAGTCCAGCACCGCGGCGCAGCCCCTCCACTTTGGGCACGACCTGGGGGGGTGAGGGGTTGTCAGAGGGGGCTGGGGGCAAGTGGGGGCACCCACGAGCCCTGGGGGCAGCACCCACCTTCACGGCGCAGACCTTCTCCCGCCCGCAGTCCAGCACTTTGAGGATGGTCCCGAAGGAGCCTTTGGCCACGAAGCCCAGGATCTGGGGGCAGGGGGGGGAGGAGGGCCTGAGCACCCCATGGAGAGGGGCTCGGGGTGGGGCAGGGCATGGTGGGGTCCTGCGTGGGGCGAGGTGGGGTGGCACAGGGCACCCCGGGCAGGCAGTGGGGACACATGGGGACCAGGAGGAGCCAACATGGACCCCAGTGGGACACATGGGGACCCAGTATGGGGCACATGGGGACAGGGACACGGGGACCCCAGCACGGCAGCTGCGGATGCCAGCAGGACACGCGGGACCCCGGTAGGACACCTTGGGACCCCGTTAGGGTGCAAAGGGACCCCGGTAGGACTCACTACGGGGCACGGGGACCGGGCGGGGGTAGAAGGGGACCCGGTGGGACGTTCGGGGACGCCGGTAGGATGCGCAGGGACCCGGCACGGCGTAGGAGGAGAGCCGGTAAGGCGGTCGGCGATCCCGGGATGGCGGCACGGGAGGCACGGACGGCGCGGGAGGACCCCGGGGGGAGGCAGGGGGTGCTGGGGGACCCCGGCAGGGCGGTCGGGGCTGCCGGGGCGGGGCGTGGGGGGGCCCCGGGCGGGGG